TGCTTTTTGTGACACATTTACCCCAATGTATTTAGTCCATGGGCATTTTCGTCTTTTTGCTTTTTCTTCTTTTTTTTTTTCCTTTCCGTGAGGGCCTCGCGGCGTTGGGCGAGGGCCCCCATCGCCGGATCCGGCGAGGGGGCCCTCGCCGGCGTCAGGCGAGGTCCGCCTCGCTCGCCCAGCCGAGGGCGACCCTCGCGGCGTCGGGCGAGGTCCGCCCTCGCTGGGCGGCGAGGCGGCCTCGCCCGATCTGGCGAGGTCGACCCTCGCCGGCGTCCGAGCGAGGGTCGCCCTCGCCCGATCTGGGCGAGGGCCGCCCTCGCCGGCGTCGGCTGGCGAGGGCGACCCTCGCTCGACGCCGGCGAGGGTCGCCCTCGCCCGATCCGGGCGAGGGCCGCCCTCGCCGGCGTCGGCGAGGGCCGCCCTCGCTCACCCAGGCGAGGCGACCCTCGCTCGACGCCGGCGAGGGTCGACCTCGCCGAGATCGGGCGAGGCCGCCCTCGGTCGCCCGGCGAGGGCGGACCTCGCCCGACGCGGCAAGGGTCGCCCTCTCCCGGGCGAGCGAGGTGGCCCTCGCCCAACTCGGGCGAGGTCGACCCTCGCCCGACGCCGGCGAGGGTCGACCTCGCCTCGAGCCGGGCGAGGGCCGCCTCTCGCCCGGGCGGGCGAACCTCGCCCGACGCGGCGAGGGCCGCCCTCGCTCGACGCCGGCGACGGCCCCCTCGCTCGACGCCGGCGAGGGCCCCCCTCGCCGGAAAGGAAAAAAAAAGAAAAAAAAAAAGAAAAAGCAAAAAAGAAGAAAATGCCCATGGACTAAATACATTGGGGTAAATGTGTCACAAAAAGCAAAGTTCGGGGTTTTTGGTGTCACAAAAAAAAGTTCGGGGTAAATGTGTCACAGATGGCAAAATTTGGGGTTTTTGGTGGTTTTTTCCCCAATTTAGGGTGCGTTTGATAACCATTTTGTTCTCGAAAATAATTTTTATTCATAAATGATTCTTTTTTATTCCGTGCTCGAAAAAAATTCCTAAGCATTTGAAAGTGTTTGGTAACTGCCCAAAATTTTTATTTTTGAAATAGAAAAAAAAAACAGAAATGTGTTTGATAACTACACAAAATTTCTTTTTATTAATAATATTATAATAATAGTTTGAATTTTTTAATATTTCTTTCTTTTTTTTTTCTTCCTTGGCCATGGCCAGGTCACCGGCACCAGCAAGGGTCGCCCTCACCACCGCCCTCGCCAGATCCGACGAGGGCTGCTCGTGGCTTGGGCGAGTGCCGCCCTCAGCGGATCTGGCAAGGGCAGCAGCGAGGGTCACCCATGCCAGATCGGGCGAGGGCCACGACGCCCTCGCCAGCCCTGGCCAATGGCCGACCGCCGGCAATCGGCCATAGGCCAGGAAAAAGAAGAAGAAAAAAATTTTCTTTTCCATTTCTGATTCTTGTTCTCAAAATCAAGAAACAACTTTTTTTCTTTTTGATTCTATTCCAAAACTGATTCTGGGAACAAAGTTTTGCAAATTTGTGCCCGAGAACAAAAAATTTATAATACGGATTTCTGTTTCAAAACTGATTCTGGGAACAAAAAAATAAAAATAGTTACTATTTGACCAGTTGCCAAACGCGCCCTTGGCTTCCACGTGGACAATTCCTCTTCTCTTTCCTTCGTTTCTTCCTATTTTAGTTCTGATCTGCCGTGAGAGAAGAAGAAGAAGAGAGAAGGATAATCTCTAGGAAGCAAAAATGTCAGGAGCGCGGGGGGGCAGAGCCCAAGCAGTCGAAGACGGCGACGACGTACGAGTCGGTGGAGGGAGGGGCGAACACGACGAGGACGGACGTACGCACCCCTCAGGACCAGGGGGGGCATTCAGGTGGACATGCTCCAGGAGAAGGTCCCCGATGCCACCGGGCACGGCGGCCCCGTCTTCGGTGCAGCCGCCACTGGTAAAACCAAGGATGAGGAGTCGGAGGACAAGCGGAAGCTCGACTTGGGCGTCACTGGCATCGGATGATGTTAAGAATCACGCAAAACTCTCTTAGCTTTGTAGATGTAGCCTCTCTCTCTCTCTCTCTCTCTCTCTCTCTCTCTCTCTCTCTCTCTCTCTCTCTCTAGTTCTCGCCGTCTATTATATCTCCACCGGGTCGGTATGCATGTATCCAATATATTCCAAGAAAGAAACTACAAAAAAAAGGAAACAAAAGAGGGAGAAGTAAAGGGGGTAGTGTAGTGTAGGCAATTTGATGTTGTCTCCTTTTGATTTCCTTTCCGCTCCACTGCCACACGTACCTGATCATTTGTGCTTTCTTTCAATGTAATCGCTTTGAATCAACGATAAGGTCATCATTATCTCTCGAACAATCTTAAAGTGGTACTCAGGTTTTGTTTAACGCTAATCTCACCGTGCCATGTGGCAAGCGCCATGTCATTAGGTAAAGTTCACAGAGCAATCAATAAGATATGGTGGGGTTGTCAAGTCCAGCAAAACTTCAATTTGTTAACAACCCCAAAACTCCGGAAGAAGACAAATACTGAATTGCGAGATCCTTTTAACCCAGACATAGTATTTCTTTGACAACATAATCCATGAACATCAATTCCATGTTCACCCCTGCTAAACAAAAGCCTAACCTCAATCCAGAATTCCTCAAAACTACTCCGAAAACCATAAAGTTATTCATTATGCGCGAATGATGTATTGAAGTGATAGAGATCCACCAAATTAACAAAAAACGAGAGCCAAATCAAGACTATTCCTCGCGTTCTACATTTGAATCTTTTCTTCTCTCTTTGGAATAACTATTAATCTACATCCACCATAAACTAGAATATCATACCAACTTTCCAAAACTCTATTATCTTTAATTTAAAAACTCCAATTGTCATCCAATAACATCTTCTGTCCCTCGACAATCCCGACAAAATGAGAAATTCGATTTCCTGTCATGGAGTAGTCCCTCTCAAATCACGGACAATCAAATCCAAAGGAAAACCCTGTAGTCAAATCTTCAATATAAGCATCACATAGCAACTCGAAATTAACACAACAACCAACGATGCATGACTTCCTCCTTTTCTTACTTCCATAGAGATGGAAACCTTATATTCGACATGTAAGAGATGGAAACCTTAGTCTTCTTCTATTCGACATGTAAGAGATGGAAACCTTTATGATTCATATATATCTGAGTATGCATATTTAGCTCAAATAAATGCGGGGTGTTACATAATTCTCGACCCTTATATTTCAACTAGATTTTCACACAACGCTACCACATGTACCGCATTAGATTTCATTTGGACCATGCTCCATGGGAGCCCTTATCTTTGAAACTGACAATATCTGGATGAAGTCATCTTCAAACAGGCCTATACGAGCACCGACAGTGGGTGGCACGGGGCATATTAGTCAACAGATGAACTGTCCAAAGGAAAGTGATTAAGGATTTTATTCTACTTTTGCTGAGTTTTGTTTCCGCGAAATTTCAAGTTTGGTCAACAAAAATTGTGCAACTATGTCGGTTCTCCCGGTTACGGGGGTCAAAGGATCAATCATCAACCAAATTGAAATTAAAAAAGGAGGTATATGCAATCCTACGAGCGGGAGGAGCTTTTATCGTGGAGCTACAAGGTCAAAAGACTTGATGACTCATTAGTTCTCTTCATATTCGACTTTTCCCCGAAACAATCAACTTACAATCACTCGGAAAAATAACCTCATATGAACGGAGGCGACAGAGTTGAACCAATTACACATCCCAGCATCACTAAGGAACACCGATCCTCCATCTACGGACATACTTGTCGATCCTCAGGCAACTATTGATTTCTTCATCAGCAACAAACCAGGCACTTGAACTCTTACCGAAAACATCACACTTTCGATCACTCCAGCAGCTCGAGGAACACCACCAATTGTGCAGGATGTCACTCCCTTTTCTCCATAAAAGATTTATGTTAGTTTCATTCCAGATCATCTTTCTCAAACTTTTAACAAAAGATTTACCTTTCAAAGCTTGTAGAGCCCACACAAACTCCATTTCCCATCCAATCGATCTGTGAACTCACTTAACTGCAGCAAGTGTGTACTCACTTGTTATACAGCTGAATTAGGCACATCAGGATTGAACTGCACCAGCCTGTGGCAGGGGTCAATAGGACCTTTATTTCTGACCAGCTTTTAACCATCAGCTCGAGAACAATGGCCATTGGTTGATCCAGTGGAAATACTCTAGAGCAAGGCACCACATCAATGCATGGTGAAGCTTGACTAGCCACCAAGTCCTCAGTCCATGCAGGAGGCCAAACCCGTTCATTGGGCCTCCCCACCACCCATGACACGTAGCATGAAGATCAGTGGCTGAGTCATAAATGACAGGTGCTTTGGCCATCTCCAATTTGATGTATGTTTAAGATGTTGCTTATAGAATTAACTTTGTGCCACTTCCTCCATGAATAGGTGCTGTCTCCCTTGATTTCAACAGCCCAAGTACTGTCTTTCAATAGTCGAATGGATATTGTATAACATTGCATGGGCCCAACGAGGGATCTCCCGTATTTGGAGACAAGTCAATCACACACTCTCAATACATGGTAAAAAGTCTTTGTTGAGGTACGCAAAAAGGGTCACATTGGCATTCGCCACTCATTTTTCTCGTTGCAACTAAAGTACAACCTATACTTCATTTTCCTTTGTGGTGTGTCGCCGAACCGTGAATGAGCTTAGCTCGGGTAGCCCAACCCTCATCGATTTCAGCATCGTCCAATTAGTTATTTGATATATATCATCAATAGTTTTTTATAACTAATTTATTTAAATTAATTTATTATAATTTTTAGTTTGATTACTTTATAATTAATTTTCAATTTGACAAGTCTCGTGATGGCCCATTCCACGTGACTATTCGTTTAGTATCAAATGGGCATTCCTGTCTTCTCCACCAAACGAGGGATTGGGAAATTAGAAATGGAATAGGCGTCCCATCACAGGCGATTCCCTTCTACCAAACGTGCCATTATAGTTTCTACGCGGTGACAACTCAAAACCACAAGAAAGTCATTATCCAAGGACAATTTTCCCTCAATTCATCCTCTCAAGCAGCTTAAAGGAGGTAATTCTACAACTCGGAATTAACTAACCCCCCCAAGAAAAATAGAAGGTAGTCGATAAGCAGATCATCAAGTCTGTCTTAAAATCCTGGCCATGAGTATCTTGGTAAGCAAAATGAAATTGTTGAACCCTAGGTAGCTGACGAGCTATTTGGGGAACTTGAACATGTCTGGATCACAACCCAAATAGTGGAAAGGGAACTTGTGCTGAGATGAAGCTCTGGCATCGGCCACGACTTGCACTTGGGAGGGTGGATAGGATTTAGGCAGCGACTGGCATGGATCAGCCTGCTGCAGCGGCAGGCACTGCTGGTGCTGCTGCTGGTGAGACGTGGCCGCAAGAAGTTTGTCCAAGAAGGACCAATCTCCTCCGCCGCCACTGGAACTGCTGCAATTGGAAGTTGCGGTGAGCCTCAGCATCTCCTGCACATCTCCAAAGGAGGAGGAGGCGACCTCTGGGCTCAACAGCTGCGGGAGGTGCATGGAGCACTCCATGTTGTAATTGTTGCTCAGGAGGGATTGTAGTTGTAGATGATGATGATGATGGCGATGTTGCTTGGGCTCCACTTGTGATGTTATACAGAAACCCCCACCACCACCTGACTTCATGCACTGACTGATGTGGTCATGTGACTCCTGATGATGATCTTGACGTTCTTGACACATTTCTGCTTGGAACCCAACTCTATGGTTCTTTTTCTTGAACACCCTGCATACCACCCACCCATCCTCCTGCAAAGAGATCGACATTGAATATTTATAGCTACTTTTTTCAAGTCACCCGACGGCAGTTCCTCAGTTCGCATCCAATTAATTTCCTTTTGTCATGTAAACACATAAATCCAACTCCACTAGCTAGCTGCTGGACTAATATATAATTTAACTTGTCTATGTATGGATATATACCTGGAGGTCTGGGGCAGATTCTTCTTCAAGCCGATACTCATGCATGATCCAGTCGGTCTTCTGGCCATGAGGAGCTCGTCCAATGTAGAAGACTAGGGTCTTCCTCATCCCTATCCTCTTTGAGGTGCTCAGGTGGATGGCCTTGTCCCTCCCTGTTGCCTTCCAAAATCCGGCTGCTGTTGCCCGATTTGTCCGAGTTCCGGTCGGATATTTCTTGTCCTTGTGGCTGAAGAAGTACCACTCGTTTTGAGGACCCGTTCCAATCTTGCACTTGTCTGCATTAGTTTACAACATGCAGTCCTCATCAAATACATTGCTAATATAAGTCGGTGCCACTGTGCCAGTAATCAAAATTTTGACTTGTACAGCATCCATTCGGATGTATATTTCGCCAAAAGGCAAGGAGATATAATGCCACAATAGTACATAATTAATATGATCTGGTGCAGATTAAATTATGAAAAATACGAGAGATACCGAAACTTATATACGAAATCAATTTACAAAGTGAATGAAGCAGGATACTGATCTCCACCATTGCTCTTCAGTTTTATTCCACTGTCCTCTCTTTCTTTGATGCAATAGAGGTCTTCCACGCAGTCAAGCCAATTCATGCGTTTTTTTTTTTTTTGGTGAGTTACGTAACTGGAACTTTTCTATACATGGCTAATGCAGGTTCAATTCATTCTGTCTTCTGGAAACTAATAACATGGATCTCATTATGTTCCAAAGTGAGATTTATGTAATCTGCGGAAAGATAAATCGCTGTGGCCCCCTCTTTGATTCAAGTTGATGTGTTAGCAGATATTGTCAGTTTTCTTTACCTTGGTTCATAGATACTGAGTTATGCCAATATTAAAGCATGGAATGAAAAGTGCGAGGCACAAGGAATTATATAGAAGGAACGTATGAAGCAAGTGGGCATAATGACCTTTAAGATCCCAAGGTTCGAGCTTGTTGAGATCAATCTCTCTAATAACGTCGAGATCGATGGCTTCATAAGACACCTTCTTCCTCAGATAGTAATAGAGAAGCTCCTCATCGGTGGGATGAAATCGGAATCCGGGTGGAACTGAAGGTTGTCCATTGCTGGCCATCATCTTCCTCTACTTCCTTAGGGGTGAAAACAAAAAGCAGAGAGAAATGATGCAGGTTTTATCAGCTGATTCTACAAGCAAATTAATAAAAGGTAGGGGGGACTGGCTCCATACAACAAATGCTCTCCATAGTCATAGTATATATTCCATGCACTGAATCAAACCCTAGTATGCATAACATTAAATAGACTACAACCTCGAGAAAAACCTAAGAAAATTTAAAAGAGTGGATAAGAACAAAACCAAACAAAAACAAAGAAATATAGTAGTATGTCAGGCAAACAATACTGCCTTCGAAGATCAATAGATGGTTTTCAATAATATCTTCGAGGACAGGAGGACCGCTAACTTAGTAAGTCCTCCACCGCAGCAACCCTGGATGGACGTACACACTTCTGTAAAAACATTGCATCTTCTGTGATATCTGGTCAGAAGGGTAAGAAGAAAATTCAGGAGAAATATAGATGATGTCTTGGAACCCTAGGGTGAAAGGATGGATGTTTGTGAAGCTAGTCAACTATGGTAAATCCATCTCCGACCAAAAAAAAAAAACGATGGTAAATTTGTTGGGGGAATAGCTCAAGTAGTGAGACTAAGCACGCGCTTTATATGTGATCTACACTGCTCATCATGGAGCGGAGAAGAGAGGATGCTGCTCTAGAAGTTAGCTGAAATGAGCATGCACACAGCATCTAATGCATTTAATCTCTATTGCATGACCTCCGATCCAAAGAAAAAAGAGACAGTGAATTGATCAGCTTCACCATTGTGAAGCATGCACCGTTAATGAAGAAGACAAACAAAAAAATGAAAGATGAACTAACTGATGAACCCTGGAACTGGAAGTATGCAGCTGGACGTAGCCTTAGCTACCTTTTCAACAGCACTAAACAGATATTAAGGAACATATCACAGAATTAAAAGAGAAAATAGGTGAAAGGAGAAGAAAAAGAGCAGACCTCTGATGTCAATAATTCTGTTTCTTTTGCGCTCTTTTCCCAATGACAAGAAGTGAACTTTTGAAGAGGGGCCAAACTTTTATCCGGAAGAGATGAGGGGAGAGAAGCCGCTGATGAAGAAGAGACGTGAAGGAGTGGGGCTAGAGAAAGCGAGAGAGAGAGAGGTTATTATCAAACAATTATATAGAGGGACTTTCAAACAAAGAAGCAAGGGAATTGAAAAGAAAGAGAGAGATGATCAGGATAGTCTCTGCTTTTTCAATATATAATCCAATATTCTGCAATAGGGATGGTGACGAGAGGAGAGATGGGCTTGACCAGCCTCATTTTTGTCACGAGAGTGTGTATTACTATTGACTAAAAAGCAAAAATGAGGCGATGGGTGTCCGTTGAACGGGAAACCTTGTCCAGGCTATCGCCTCATTACAATGAAGAAATTCTGCGCTGCTGTCATTTACCCATCTCTACATTTTGTCTGATAATCTCAGCTCTTCCTTATTTGTTCACATTATGGACAGCTAACAATCTTCTGTTCATATTTATATGGGTTTTCCATAATTCGTCCCAACCGCTATGTTGAAAACCCTACTTGTCTTAGTATTCCAAATTTTCTGGTCTAACCTTTGGAAATGATGACAAACAATCTTGTCCCTTTACTAAACATACCTCCATATTTCTTGTTTTCTGCTATTGCAATATATCTTGACGAATATCACAAACGTTATTGCACCTTTCAATATTATTCCTTGGAATAAAATTTCTTCGAAATTAAAGTGTCCCAGTAGTTTGAGCTGACTGAAGCAGGTCAATTGATTTTTTCATGCAGGGAAATAGATAGAGAGTTATATATTTCAATAATCAATATTCAAGAACTTGGGAGACTGTAATAAATAAAAAATCATGGGAACAAACTCGATCCTTGGATCCCGTCCGGAAGGGAATGGAAGAAGAATAGAAAGCGACTAATCTGCATGTCCAGCATTAATTAACAGCTGGTTGTCGAATGAATAAAAGAAAAAGGATAATATTATTGTATGTTCACTATTTCCAGGTCAAGCTTAAATGGCACCTCAAATTCAGTGCAAATTGTGCCAATGGGGGAGAGGGTCATGAGGCGTTTTTACGCAAATGCCCATGGCACTGAATTGGTAGAGATGCAGGGACATCGATCCGGATGCATCACGCCTTTACATTTTCATGGTTTTACTTGTGTAGGATTGCCCTTTTCCACAAAAGATCAGAGGCAAAGAAGATTAGCACGTGAGGAGGGGTAAGGGGGAGAGAAAGCAAATCCCCTGAAAGTCCGTGGAAGATACACGTGCTGATCCAACACAGACTACACAAACCAATGTCTCGGTTGGATTAAATTAAATTATAAGAGGTTGTGGTTGTTGTTGCTGAGATTGGCTTCATTCATTCATCTCCTCACTAGAGACTACCCACCCACCGAAGGGATTCCCACGCTACCTCTCTCTCTCTCTCTCTCTCTCTCGCTCTCTCTACTAATTCCCGGTCAATTACGGAGACCGCCCCAGAATAGTGGCTGAACATTATGCCATTATTAGGGTCATTACCATCATTTTCCCCATTTGATTAATCAAAGCCTCGCAACTTCAACACAATCGCCGGTCCACAACTCTTTTAAACCTGCGTGACCGAGTGCCGTTGCCTTTACGAACACTGCATAACGCCATTAATAGGCGTAGCAAATGAGTTATCCATGGGAATCCTAGGGCCATCTCCCACACATTTCACTTGCAGGCTTCGAATCTTAGGTGGTCGTACTGCTGCTTCCCACCTTATAACCCCACGATACCGGCATGTTACCTTTAATTGTTTCATTGAAACCCCCTTGAAAAAATTGGATAATTTGACTACCAAGCATGGCAGTTTGGAGGTAAAGTTCTAGCCTATCTCTCCTCAGATCATGAGTTCTATTTATGTCGTGAGCAAATCTTTGCATGACTCATATGCTCTACTGAGTACTACCAGAATTTTTTCGCCCCCGTCTTGCCAAAGGAGGCTATAACGACTCACTCGCCCTTTTGAAGCCCATTTCCTGAGTAGCCTTAATTCTACTAGACATTTATTAGCGCGTGCAAAACTCGTATCGACAACGCTCATGGAATTTCACGCTTGGTTACCTTTACCCATCCTTCATTTACGAAAAAAAGGACTATTTCAAAAACCAAGTTGACTTTGCTTTCTTTTTTTTCCTTTCAGAGTTTGAACGCTATCCAAATTTACAGAAATATAATGCTAATGACATACTAACACCGATTAATAAAGATTTTCAAAATAATGTGACAAATTAAAAGTGGGCATTTGAGGGAGAATTACCAAAAATCCTAGATATATTACACTTATGTCAATTTAGGGCTTTAAATCTTTTAATCAGATCAATTGAGCTTTATGGTACATTTAGGAATGGCTTTCCCAAGCCACTTTGGGTGTCCAAAGCCCTTGGACTAAAATTAGGTGTTTGGGAACAATTTTTAGAAATCCCATTCAGCAAAGTCAGCCTTGTGAAGGCTGAAAGCCCAAGGCAAGTTCTAGGTTGCTTTGGGCTTTTAGCTTTCTTGGCATGCAACACTCCCAAATAAGTAAAAACATTTCTTCCAAAACTACCCTCATCTATTTTTTGATTTTTCCAATTTTGCCTCGTTTATCATTGTTCATCGTCTTCTTCACTTAGCTCGGAGGCGTGGCTATGAGGGGACGACGACCAATGACCGGGAGAGGGGCTGGTGTGATCGTGCAACTTAGCGACGTTCGCCCGGGTTGTATGGACCGTTGCGACGGCCACGCTACCTGTGCGAGGGGCCTCCGAGGTCGCGCAACCTAGACGGCCCTCGCCAGGAACTCGCATGATCTCTGGAGAGGCACTCGCGTGGATTCAAGCGAGGGTCGGCTAAGATCGTGCTACCTAGACAACCCGGCGGCCCTCGCCTAGGTTTCGCGACCCTCGTCGGGGTTGTTCGATCCTAGGCAACCCTCGTCGGTGGTCGTCGGGTAGTGCCGAGGGTCGCTCAACCTCGACGATGGCCGCCGGCCCAAATCTGGGTCGCTACGGCGGCCGCCTGCCCTTCGTCGTCACTGGGGCAAAGGGTTTGAACTTTTCTTTATTTAAAAAATAAAAAAGTGCCTTGCAAGAATAATTTTTCTAAATGCTATTTTACCCAAAGTTGCTTTGCAATGGACTTTTAAGTTACAACTTAATAAACACAATTTGCATTTTGAAAAACTCCTTCAACTTAAAGTCATTTGCATTTTTCCAAAGACTTTCCCCCCAAAGTGTTCCCAAACGCAACCTTAAACCTTTTCATTTTTTGCCAATTGAGTTCATTCCTACCAATTTTAATGATATGGATGCCAGGGTGTCCCTATGTAACACTACTTTGGTGTTGATATGGATATCTTTAATAATTTTAAAATAATTTTTGAATTTTTTTCTTTTCTCTTCTTTAATTTTTTGGAACTTAGGGTCGGCGACACAGTGTGCAGGTTGTGACACCCGCCGCAGTTGGGCGAGGCGTTGCGGCCCTCGCCAACATTGTTTGATGGCCGTGATGCCCTCGCCACCCAAAGTGAGGGTGCGTAACTTCCCATGTAGATTTTCTTCCCGAGGGTTGTGACACCCCAGCCGATTTGGGCTAGGTGAGGGTCACCGGCACCCGCCCGCTGCCCTAAGTTAAAAAAAAAAATGTAAAGAAAAGAGAAAAGAAAAATAAAAAAAAATAAAAATATAATAAAAAAAGGCCCATGT